TATATATGAATATATAAAAAATATATCAAAATGCGTGTGGGTACTCAAATGAAAGCTCTTGATGAGTCTAACATCGGGATGAGCTTATATCTTTAAAAATGTCAATAGTTAAGAAGATACAGTGCAATTCAACAAAAGTCATTTAATAAAGTAATACTTCATTTATTTATATTTTACAAGTTACATAGTGACAGCAAGGTTACTAGTTTGAAATAAAATGAAAAATTTGAATAAATTGAAATGAAAATATTTTCTTTTTGGTAAATAATATTTATTAATTATAAATTAGTACATGGCAGTTGTTAATACTCGATAAAAAAATTGATTTGTTTAAAAATAAAAAATATAAATACTAAAGAGAAGCTTCCGCAGAAGGACTGCTGGCAACGGATGGCAAAAAGTAACTTCTTACTTGATTGTGAAGCCTCGCTATTTCAGGATCCTCGCGTTCTAGCGTTCTAATAAACTGTGCAAACTGTATAGTACCTTCTCGACCTTCAGAAAATCCATATTTTTTAATAACATCCATCTGAATTTGTGTAACTATTGGAAATATAAATTGCATCATTTTCATCATTTCATTTCCAGAACTTTCTTTGGCTTCACTTAATTTTTGGACGTTCTCTGGTGCATTCAAGGCCAATAGTACATCATTTAAAGCAGCTAAGTAAAATATACAATTAATAAATAGTTAATAATTAATTAATTATCAAAGTAAAATAAACTTAGAATTTACTTGACAATTTTAAAAATTTTTAAATGTCAATTTTTTTTTTCTTATTTTATTTTTTGCTATAAATTATTTGTTATAAAAATTTTTAAATATTTGTAAAATTAATTAATAATACTGAAACTAAGAGCCATTTTATAATTTTTAAAATTTTTTTAACAAATAAATTTTAGCAAGAAAAATTTATATAAAAAATTCCATCTTTAAAAGGCTCCAAAAATTATAAATGCAATTTTTTTGAAGTAAAATAACTAGACCTAGTTTATTATTTATAAAAAAAATTAAAAAATTGCAAAGTGTCTGCTAATTTTAATCTCATAATTAATTTTTATAAAGTAAAAATAAAAAAATAAAATTACCTTTAGCAGTGTCAGCATTAAAAGTAGTAACAGATGCCATTTTATCAATAAATATATATAATATTCTAACAAATCAATTGTTTAATATACTAATATTGTTATTATAAAACTTTTTATAATTTATATACTCTTATTTATTAATAATCATCATCACTGTAAACTATTTGTTTACATAAATTTTGACAGCTTGTCAAGTTACTGATTATTTTAGGTTAGTATTTCATAAGCTGAGTCCTCAATTCAAGATTCTTTTAATTGACAAACTATACATATTTTTTATATTTTTTTAATAATTGGTTTATTAACTAATATAATAATAATATACATTAAAAATTAATAAAAAAAATTATTAAAATATTTTAGATAAATCTACGTTTAATTTTTTATTTCCAGATGGCGGTAATTCATTATTTGTTGGCTCTTTAGCTGGAGTTTTCTCATTTAAATCCTTCTGTGAAGTTTTAAGTTGGAAACTCGTACTTTCTTTATTGAAATCTTCTAAAGCTTTTTCCCAAAGCTCGTTTCCAGAAACTCCAGTCTAAAATTAGAAATAAGGTAAAAAAATTTGCACTAAATTAAAATAAACAAAATAAAATATATTGATACCTTTTCTAAGTCTTGATAAATTGAAATAAATCGCTGCGTATGCGATTGAGTGTCATTTTTAGCAATGTTAAACCTTAAATTGTTGCCAAACTCTTTTTGAAACTTCCTGCAACCATAAATTCATAAATTATAAGAATTATCACCAAAAATTAGTCAAATGTGGATTATTTTTATTAAATTTTTTTCATACTTAGTTCATGGCTATGAGATTAAAAACAATTTTCTTATGTCAGGTAACTTATCTTAAAATGTTATCTTAAAATCCATATAAATTACTTTTGATAATTATTTATATAATAGAAAATATACCAAGTAATTTTTTTTTTCTATTTAAAAGTCACCCATTGTCTAAAATTCAAAAAATCTCTGAAATTAGCAATCTTGCAGTAACTATGTGATTGTCGTGACTTGTAAACTACTAATAAATAAAATTTTGCTTCATTAAAAAATGACTTGTTAAATTGCACTATACTTTCTTAGCTATTGACGTTTTTAAAGATATAAGCTCATCGTGATGTTACACTCATCAAGAGCTTTCATTTGAGTACCCACATGCATTTTCATATATTTTTCATATATACATATATATAATATATATAAATATATGAAATATCAATGTGGGTACTCAAATGAAAGGTCTTGATCAGTGTAATGACGGGGTGAGCTTATATCTTTAAAAATATCAATAGTTCACAAGATACAAGGTAATTTTCTAATTACGTTAAATTGCACTGTACTTTCTTAACTATTGACATTTTTAAAGATATAAGCTCATCCTGATGTTACACTCATCAAGAGCTTTCATTTGAGTACCCACATGCATTTT